CTCTTCAATGAAGCATCATAGTAAACTGGGAACTTTACAGTTAGAATCAGCAACTCCAATTAGCCTAGTGTAAAAGTTTTCAGGCTGTTTTGTTTTCTTTCTGGGGCAAAATATGGTCTTTCATTGCTTAAAACCCTCTTTGAAGTTTCTACCGTAATCTTACAGTAATGAAGAGGGAGTGATTCGTTCTATAATGCAAATCTAAGTTGAAGCCAGCTCTACAGATTGGTACCTGAAGCAATGGAAAAGACTTCTTGGGAAGAGAGATATTAACGATCAAACGTTCGATACATTTTTTGGGACACCCTGTATTTTTGAAACACCTTGTAGGATGGGACGTTGAAATTACACTTCTATTAAATAGTAAAGGAAAATGCCGGTGATTATTCTGAAGTGTTCATTAGCTTGTCTATTAATTTATTGTCTGATGCGCGGTAGCTTTTTCCACTAGGTTCATCATATCAGCGTAATGCATTAACCAAAATCACGCACATGTAGTCAAAATAAAGATTTTGCCGAAGCTCATGCAAACCACAAAGACGCTAAGTACTTAAACAACATCTGATGAGCAGCTACGATCTCATGATTGGAAAAAGCAGCTGAAAGTTATAGTCACTAATCGTTCAAGAGTACTATTTTGAATTACACGCCACACACCGCAAAACATTCAATACTGTATTTCATGTCTTTTCGAATGGTTATGTCTACAAGGCAGTTTGTCCAACGAGCTCTCAGCGGACTACTAATGAGTACGACCAACTTTTGCCATGGTGAAGTTTCGCTATTATAATATAGAATTTTTTTCTCCTCAAATAAGTCTAAAAAATGAGTAGATAGAGCAAGGCATATAGATTCAAGACAGTTTTTCCCTTTTTCTCATAACTCGTCATAATTTTTTGGTAGATTTTTCAATGAAGCCACCGGACTTTATCAGATCTGTAGGCATAAATGCATTAAGCATCTATGAATTTTCGGAATTTGGATCTTTCTAAAGTAAGTTACCATCCAACTAACTAATACCATACTAATTTTACAGAGCAAAGGGGGGTTTACGAATTCGAAATGTCAAATCTCCATTTTCTGGGTATAGCTTGAAAGCTCAAAAACATAAAATAGATATAAAGTTTTGTCCCCGAACATTCCAAGAATAGAAACGTCAAAAATAGGAGAAAATGCCGGTATATAGGGTTTGTTAGCATCGAAGAAATTTTATTACAACTTTTGAAAAACAAATTACAAAAAAAATAATTTGTATCTTGTAGAGTTTGCTTTGTCCACAAGTTACATAGAATTCTACGAAATTCAGTACAAAAACTCGAGAAAAGAGCGAGATTTGACAAAGGCAAAAGTTATGGCTTGTAGCTTCATAAAACTTCATTAAACGCTAGCAAAATTTTCCATAAATGTTAGGATCGCGGGATATGATGCTTGCTCAAAAAAAGTCATATTACTTTCGAAAAATCTAGGTATGATCCAACGACAAATCAAATGCATACTTCTTTTTAACTACTGTATATTATGGAATTTTCAGGTGTTTTTTGCCTTGGTGTGCTTCTCTCAAACCTTCTACCTTGTGTGCATGTGGCGCTCTTCAGACTATAGAGCTGCATTCGTAGAACAATTACGAATCATGACATGTCAAAAGAGTAGGAACGCAAAAAAAACTTAACTGCCACACTTCTTTTGTACTCATCAAAATTTAAGACCTTAGAATTCATGGATACACAGTTCATTAGAATGCGTTTGGATTCCTATATACCCTGCCTAGACTCTAAAAAGGTAAAGAAACGAAAAGAAGTATTAATTTTGAACTAGTATTTGGTTGTGTGCGCCGTCATTGATGAAGGTGTCCATGAGTTTTGGTACAAGATGCCTTCTACGTGGAGCATCTTCATGCTTCTGCCCTTTTCCAAAAATAAGAAAGGTTAGTCCAAAAAGCAATTGTCAATTATTCTCGAAAACTTACTGTACTACTTGAACTGACAAGAGAAAGCTGAGCAAATGAAGCTGTGGGATTAGGAATGGATGGTTCCTAAAATGGGATTAGTTCCGTCAAGCGCAAGAGCTACATGATCAATGAGTTCAGTTGACTTGTCGTTATGTTGCTAAGAGCCTCACAAACGTCTCGATAATGACATTGCTTTCGTTATCACTTGTCATCTACTACCATTGGTTTGACAAGTACTCATATCTAACTTTATATGCTGACCGTAGCTCTACTCGTCGCACCATTCCACTAGGGCTTTTCATATCTAATTTTTTGATAGAATACGGGTTTTCGCTTTGTAGCTAGTCCTTCAGCTGCTCTTTAACTCAAATATTTTCATGATCTACATAAGCTAACGGATTCCTCAGTCAACATCCATTCCGGTACAGTGGTAAGTTATTGAATGTTTTTTAAAAACACCTAATTGCAAGTTTCGCGCAAATTCAAATGTTAAATTGAGGCACAATGAATGCACTCTAACCGTATTCTAAAAATGTTAGTGTGTGATGGGATGTAAGAGCCTTTAGCAAGCAGTCTTTATGTAGTCTGCTTCACCAGTTACTGAGTTGGAAATATATTGGCTTGCTGCTAATGCTTGCTGCTTCAAAGTTCTACCCGTTTTTATACCTCTTTTCCTACTGCTGCAGAGGAAAAAAGCGCTCTTCATGAGCAATGCTTATATCACTTTACAGCTCTTTTCTTCTAGCTTCTTGCATTAAGAAACACCATACGCACGGGCAACTTTCAATCTTTTTCATTTCCTCTGCTCTTCAAAGTAAATCACACGGATCTTCTTCTATTGCACTATCCCTAGTCACAAAGCAGGCTGAGAAGTCAAGATTGGTCAATATTTGGTGTAGTAATTTCAGGCCACGCTCTCGGTTAGTTCACGAGTTTCCTTAATATCCGCATGTTTGAATTCCAGTATTATCTGCTCTACTCATACAGATTAACGATAGCTACCCACCAGTCATATTATAGTTCAATTGCTGTACTTACCTAACTGGGATAAGCTTCTTCACCCAAAGAGCCTGCCGTAGCGTACTCATAGAGATGTCAACAGCGCTAAACAGCGCCCTATCAGCGCCTTATGTAAAACTGTTCCGTACACAACTAATGCTACCTCGCTCTTTTCGATAAACGCACAAAAATGGAATTTCAGTGTTATCTTGAACACAAAGTTTAGTAAGGATATATATGTCCGATTGGTATAAAAATTGTATTAAGGGGTTTTCAACTACGCTGTTTTCGAATAAGTCGGTAGTTTTGATTCTTTTGTTCACTATTTTCAAATTAATAGATCTTACATTGAGTTTTTTTTACAAATAAGCTTTAATTCATACTTGGTGATGTTTCAAAATAGTTGCATTCTGTTGCTTGTATAAAACAATTGAAGACAGCGTCCAGGCAAATCTGGATATACAGGGATCTCACGTGGATAGTAATTTTGGTGCCCTGACTAAACCACTGCCCAACCGCAGCTCAGGTAGTGCTCTAGCGGTTAAGATTCCCCTCGAACTTGAACCCTAGGATCATATCTCGCATAGATTCATGGCGCGTAATTCCTCGCGATAATTTGATCTGTTGCGCCATGAATCCATGCGGATACGGTCCTGGGGTCCAGTTTCGAGGGGAATATCTCAACCATTAGTGAAACACCTGCGCTGCCGCCTTCGGCAGTGCCTTAATTAGGGCCCCAAAATTACCATCCATGTAAAATACCCATGGTCCAGGTCTGCCTGGACGCTGTCTCTAAATGAACAGTTTCTTGTGAAATCTTGCAGAAGGCGTCTAGCGGAGGTATTTGGTCCTTTAGCTTCTTATTCTTACAAGGAAAGTGCAAATTTATTCAGCCTTCAAAGGATACCATAGAGGTAAAATTGCATCAATAAGGATTATTGCAACAACTTGGAATAACCCCGATAACTCAAATTATTCCAAAATGTCTGCGATGGATTTTCTCGAAGTGCTTTGAGTCTTTGCTCTATAGACATCATGGACGATATGTACAAAGACCCTGTCGGGTAAGTTTTCCCGTTCAGGCCGATCAGACGCCGGCGCCGTCTCCCGTGGTGCTTGAACCGTAGACGCCTGAACGCAAAGTCCGGTTAAGTAAATCGGCTAAGTCAGCTACATTAGCCCTACCCGGTCTCTTAAATGTGAAAAATAGACATCTTTTGCTTAGGCGGCGCTCAAAACTCTTGATAATTTGAGGCTTTTGTTCACTAATGAAAGAGCAAGTTTTGATAATTGTTTCGTTACGAGTTTTTTCAATTTGTGATTTGATTTGGTTTGACTTTAATATTTGCAAGGAAGTCAGAACATTCTCTCCAGTTTTGGCTTTAGTGCTCGTCTTGCTTTAGTGCAGGAGGCATGCTTAGCTTTGAACTAAGGTTTTTGCTAAGCACAGCATATTTCGATTCAGCTTCAAAGCTTATTCCGAGTAAAGCACTCGCGTCTGATCAGGATTACGTCTTGAACGGAAATACTTGCTCAAATGAAAGATTGATAGATTTGTCCCAAATACGAGAAATTCTTCAGATGTATGTTACTCATGAAGAGCTTTCAAAACTGCATGTGCACTTGTCGTATGCGCAAAGCCTGAGATGGCTTGTAAGCTGTGAATCAGTTGAAACGAGGTTGTTCCTGCTTTTCTAAGTTGCGAATAAACCTGTGAACCTTGCCGAATAATATTTCGAATCTATCAGTAAATACGTCGTGTATAAATCCATTTTCTGTGATGCTCTTATGGCAGGTTAGTGCTATTATCTTTCTCAAGGATTTTCTTTCAAAAAAATTAGGAGTATGGAAACTTTGAACTAGAAACGATGAAGGAAGAAAAATGAAAGGCGCGCAGAAGTATTTGGCCAATCCTTAATATCAGAACTCTGGTGAGAGCGTTGGAAGATGTCGAAGTGAAGATTCCTCTTACAAACCTTTTGTTTTCGCTGAAAGAAGCTCAAACATTGGTTACTTCTAAGGCTTGTGTCATGCCAGAACAGGCACGCGAAATGAACCGTATTTATTGACTGGACAAATTTGAGCAAACAGATATGGAAAGAAGACGAGCAACCAATCTATTTCATTTTCGAAGTTCGTCTACACTAAATTCCGTAACGACGGCAAAGTGATCAGATGGATAATCGTTGTCTTTATGGTATGGAATAGGTTTCAACTGCTCCGTTCCTGCGTATATGAATGAGTTGATTGGCTTGATTTTACCTTAAAAGCATGGTTAGAGTAAAATTTAACTCAAGCAGGTATTTCCGCACCTAAGTAGAATATGAAGTCAATTCGGTCCTGCGGTTCTGGAATGGCATAATCCCATTCTGCGTTGAATTTATTCACGGTCGACCATGTGTTACCTATAAAATCATGCATACAATACCGCTCACAGAATGTGCAAAATTTCCGTGAATGATTCGAAAGTCCGAAAATTCCGCGAAATTCCGAAACTTCCGCGAACTTTCCGGAATTTCGCGAAGTTTGGCGAAATTCCAGGAATTTCGCGGAATTTTCGGAATTTTGCGATATTCACGGAAATTTTGCATATTTTGTGAGCGGTATTGTATAGTAATATCATAAGTGGGCGGGGCTTACAGTTCACAGCTAAAAGGCGAAAAATCGATATTTTGGAGGCTAATGAACCACCAAATCCTCAAAAATCGATAGAACCGGTATTCTGAGAGCTGTGAAATCCCGAAAATCGAGAAAAATCGATAAAATCGATTTCCTGGAGGTTTCGAAATACCGAAAATTGACAAAAATCGATAAAATCGATATATTGAAAGTTGCGAAATCCCAAAAATTGACAAGAACCGATAAAGTCGATATTCTGGCGGTTTCGAAATTTCGGAAATCGGTAAAATTATCGAAAAACTAAGCGAAAATTTCGAAAAACTTCATAATAAGCTCATTTCCAGTATTTTTATACAGCTGAGATTCCTCCAAGCAAGCTCCGCCCACTTTATACCCCACATCACGATCGAAATTGAAGAAAATAAGAAAAATGAAGGAAAAATAAGAAAAAATAAGCGAAAATCGCGTTTTTCTAGCCCGATTCACCCCCTTTCTAGCCGTTTTCAGCCCCCTAACCAGGTCCAGATGGCCGCGGGTAACTATCACACGCGCTGCAGAAATAAAGAGAGGGGAAAAAATGAGGGGGGAGAAAGAGGAGAAGTTGCGAGACCCTGAACTAAAAAAAAAGTCCGGGAAGGTTCATAGATGGGCTCCCACAGACGGAGCCCCTGCATTTTTTCCGAATTATATATGGTGTCTCCCTCGAATACAAACTGAAGAATGGCTATCCCAGCCCGTCACCCCTACTCTCCACGGAGATAAAATTCAAAATATGCATCATCGCCGTTATATAGCGCCTCCTACACTGGAGCTATGGGCACGAGCTTCCCCCCTAGAAAAATAGAGCTACCAAAACTACATGTCAATGACCACATGAGATTACCCCAACCCTACAACTTGCATAGATATAAGGGCGCAAACTCGCCTTTAACAGATTTCCCAAGTTCGGCTGTCAATTAGGCACTTTTATTGGGAACTTGTTATTCTACGACCTTCTCTCTAAAATCATATTTTTAGAGATCTGTCCAATAAAACAAACTTTAGTCTCATATCTGTAATATTCGCAGAGTTACTAGCCCCCCCAACATGCACGTTCAGGCCGTAAAATCGGCTCTCCCAAACTTGCTCCGTAATTCCTCCAAAAATCATGTTAGACACCTCTCTCATACCTATACACCCCATATTTTTCCAGCTTCTTAGAAGCAATACACACTGATATAGCGCACTCTTGGCCTCGGCGCAAGATTTGGTTAAAATATTGAGGTTCTCGGATTGACCGTAAACTTCACTCATAGTGGTTTTTGGTCCCGATCTTTACGAAAATCCTATTTATTTCGCACTAGAGAGTCTTACAGTAAAGCTAAAGTGAGATAGAAGTAGCTAAACCAATCAAGATCGCAACTTCGCCTGCACTTTTTGCCTACCTGTTGCGGAAATTGTCCGCAAATTTTTGTGAGTTCAAAACTTTGTGAACACTCTATCGGACCATGCTTAGCACAGGTCTTTACTTGAATTGTTCGTCAGATTATGATGTTACAAAATCGCTTTCTCATGAATTGTCTTTCAAATTCAAAAGTCGTGTTGGCAGATATTCTATCCTACAATGTGTCACTAGCAGCAAAACAATGTAAGAAATGTTGTTAGCACGTCGAGTACAATACCGCTCACAGAATGTGCAAAATTTCCGTGAATGTCGCGAAAGTCCGAAAATTCCGCGAAATTCCGAAAATTCCGCGAACTTTCCGGAATTTCGCGGAATTTTCGGAGTTTTGCGATATTCACGGAAATTTTGCATATTTTGTGAGCGGTATTGTATATACGCTGTGTAACCGCGCGTCTGGCTCAACCCAAAGTGGGCTAGATTCATGTAAACAGGCGGCGAAAGACAGAGAGAAGCTGAAAGCAGAAGGCAGATAGAGACCCTTGCATACGCCCAGCAAGGCCGCCGCAATATTCAAAGCGACTTGCAGATGTGACATAAGGATTGAGCAGAAGGTACGTCGAGAAAAGCCCTTCCTGACATCCTCATCTTTCTCAATGATTCAAGACGGAGGCGGATTACATGTTCTGACATGAGCTCGCACGACGCGGAAAAAATTGTGCCCCATAAGCACATGCCTTGTTTACAAAATACGCAGCATGACTTTGTACCTAGCGTGCATATACGCACAGGGGACTCAAACTACGGCTAAAACTTCATAGAAATTTATGTTTGAAGCGGAGACCAATCTTCTTGAATGAAAGGAACCGTTCCAATTATAAATCAGCTAGGAGAAAATGGTCAGAACTTAACCCAGCCATTCCAAACAAGCTGAATATCATCAGACTTGTCTTTAAACGCTGTTTTCAAATATATGTTTTTATTTGCCAAGCGATTATCAGGGAGGAATTATGAGCTTTCAAATACGAGAAATTTTTCGAGTTCCCACGAATATATTTCCTTGAAAGGCAGCCTTATGGCGCGGATTTACAGTGGCTATGGTTATTTTAATTACAATGGAGAGGCTCCTTTACCAAAAACCTAAATAAGCGTTTTTGAAACCTATTTCGTAGAACATGCACTACAGAGCACTTGACAAATCGCACATCCAAACGCTCATAACTCCTCCCAAACACTCGCTTGGCAGATAATAAACATATTAGGTTGAACACTAAGTTTTGCAACTTGTTTCATAACTTCACTCTCATTCAACATGGCGCACTCAAACTTTGGCGTCATGCAGAATGCAATGTGAGCTACAAGCGAGCACAAATTGTTTGAATTTTAAACACGAAATAGAAAAGTTTCAGGCATTTTTCGAAAACTAGTAAAATTTGAGAATTTTTGAGGTTTCAAGCTAAAATGAAGCCTTTAGCCGCCTAGACAACATGCGCAGTAAGCCGGAATCTTATATATAAAGCTGAATGTCTGTTTGTCTGTCTGTCTGTCTGTCTGTATGTCTGTCTGTCTGTATGTCTGTACGTATGTTCCGAATAGAAAATTCCATTTCTGAACCGATCCGGACCAAACTTGGCACACATACACTACGGGCCCCGGCGGGTCATAGGCTACTTTTCGTCATCGATCGATATCGATTTTATCGATTTTTATCGATTTTTTTGCTGAGTTCACCTACGGGGCTGGGAGTTGGCACAGGGGGGTAATCGAGCATGGGGATTCCGAATACAATATTGGTTTTCAGGATTATCGATTACTTTTATCGATTTTATCGATTTTTTTGCAAAGTTTGAGCTACGGGGCTGGGAGTTGGCACAGGGGGGTAATCGAGCATGGGGATTCCGAATACAATATTGGTTTTCGGGATTATCGATTACTTTTATCGATTTTATCGATTTTTTTGCAAAGTTTGAGCTACGGGGCTGGGAGTTCGCACAGGGGGGTAATCGAGCATGCTGATCATCCCCAAGGGGGGTGATCAGCATGCTCGATTACACCCCTGTGCCAAATTCCAGCCCCCTAGCTCAAATTTTCAAAAAATCGATAAAATCGATAAAAGTAATGGACGATCTTGAAAACTAATATTGCATTCGTAATCTGCATGCTCGATTACCCCCTGTGCAAACTCCCAACCCCGCAGGTCAAACTTTACAAAAAAATCGATAAAATCGATAAAAGTAATGGACGATCCTGAAAACTAATATTGTGTTTGTAATCAGCATGCTCGATTACCCCCCTGTGCAAAATCCCAGCCTCGCATGTCAAAATTTACAAAAAATCGATAAAATCAATAAAAGTAATCGATAATTCTGGAAACTAATATTGTATTCGGAATCCCCATGCTCACTTCCCCCTGTGCCAACTCCTAGCCCTGTAGGTGAACTCTGCAAAAAAATCGATAAAAATCGGTAAAATCGACATCGATCGATAACGAAAAGTGGACTGTGACACCCGCCGGGGCCCGAAGTGTATGTGTGCCAAGTTTGGTCCGGATACGGCGGAGCCGGGTAAGCCAGCTAGTCCTTTATAAATTATTGCTGGAGGTTGACTACTTTGGCCTAGTAAGAAAGAAACAAAATTCAGGGGCATGTCGAGATTTGGCGTCCTCACAAAGTCGAACGAGCCGATGTACGCAAAAGCTGCTGGGGACGACCGTCAATGACTAAAGAGTCCGAAGCTCAAATTCCTCCGAGATTTCACATAGTAAGGTTATTTAACCTGCCGAACGCGAATATCATATTCATTTGTTGAATCAACGCCATTTTCCTTGTTTGGGGTGTGACCCCATATCGTACACCTACAGTAATCTTACAAAAAAGCCCTTATCACGGAATTTCACTATCGTTTTCGTGATCAGCATGTCGGATAACACCCCTATGCCAAGTTTCAGCCAAATCCGTCAAACTTTGAATTTTTCCCCTTTATACCATACAACTACCGTACACTCACTGCGACGTCAGAATTTGGTAGGACAGCAGCTGCGCTTGCAGCTTACGTAATAACCAACACAGTGGCAAAATTTGAGTGCACCATGTTGAGTGAGAGGGAAGTTATGAGACCAGTTGCAAAACATAGTGTTCAACCTAATATATTTGTGATCAGCCTTTCAAGAAAAGTCCGATAATGTACAGCATGTTTGGTATGGTGTGAACATTTCCTGCTGAGCTAGAAATACTTTTTATCAAAAGTATTTCTAGGCGCGTCCCTAAAACCCCCTGAACCAACGCGCGAACTTTCCTTTTTCAGCGGAAGTTTAATTTATTATGTATGCTTGCCTTTCTCCTTCCCTTCTTTTCTTTTGGTGTTGCTATGCAATTTATTAGTTTGTCATCAATCGCTGACAAGGGGTAGACAGGTGAAAGATAGAGAGAGGGAGTAAAGTGAGTTTGAGGGGAAGGGTTAAAGCACCGATGTGCTTCAGGCTCAGGGCAGCGTGCATTACATCCACGCCGGAAAGGAATTGCAGCTCAATAGAAATTTTCATGTCCTAAAGCTTCGGATTCTGAATTTCACGCTGTCTACCTATCCGTAAGTATTCCTGCCATCCTTCGCTATGAACATACTGAATACCAGCGAGAAGCTGTACAAGCCGCATTTCCCAGCTTTCTGTATGATCCCCTGATGACCCCCGGCTGCCGACCGTCTTTTCTTCAAAATCATTTTTCTTCCTTCGCAGCCAACAAAAAGCTTCCAAAGTTGTACAAATTATCTAACCCAACAGTGCTAAGCGTTGCTGATAAGAACGAATCAGTGCATAAAGAACCGAATTTTTCAACAAACTCCAACTTTCGACTTGTGGTTCAGCTCAAATTTCATGACTCCAATACATCATTTGTTCTTATAAACAACATGCTGCTCAGCACTGCTGAGCTGGATAATCATACAGTCTGCCTCGATCCCAAGCAGGCCAAAATTGGCATGGCGGGAGACCGCGTCGCTAGGGTTTCACGGTTACGCCCACGGCCTGCTTCTCTGCCCTCTCTTCAATCCTTTTGCTCTCTCCGACAGCGCGCACAGCGCAGACCGCTAGCGCTGCGAGCGCGAAAATTTACGCCGACGGTTCGGCCTGATCCCGATTGAAGCAGACTGTACGCCTTTGGAAGTTATCTGTTGGCTTGAAAGAAAAATAATCTTGAAGAAAAGACGGGTCGCCTGGGATCATCAGGGGATCATACAAAAGGCTGAATGCGGCTTGTACAGCTTCTCGCTAGTGTTCAATATGCTCATAATGAAAGATGGTAGAGATACTTACAGATAGGTAGGCAGCGGAAATCCGAATATCAGGAGCTTCAGGATATGAAGCGTCCTTCTAAGCTGCGATTCCCTCCCAGCAGGGATGTTAGTGCATGCGGCCCTAAAAGAAAGCTTCATATTCTGAAGCTCTAGACAGCTGGGCTTCTCGGTGTTTATCCATCCGCGAATGTTTCTACTCAATGTTACTATAAACATAATGAAGAGCGAGCAAACGTACAAGCCGCATTTTCCATCTTTTTGTATGACCCCGTCACGACCCTCGGTGGTCGGCCGTCTGTCCTCCAAAAACGTTTCTCCTTCTTCAAAATCAGTGAGAACCTTTCAAATCAAACTCACTATCTTACCAACAGTGCTAAGCACCTTTCTAAATAGAAGAAATGATACCGCACTCTTGAATATTGCGATGAACCACTAGTCGAAAGCTGAGATTTATCGAAATCATTTTTTTGATAAGTCAGTTGTTCTTATCAGAAACACTTTTAGCACTCTTACAATATATATTCAATACAACTTTGGAATGATTTCATCAATGAAGAAAGAAACTCTGAAGAGAGGACTGTCGGCCATCGGAGATTACCAGAAATCCTACAAAGAGATGGGGGCGGTACAATTTTCGCTCTTGTTTTGATATATTCATAGTAAGGGGCAGTATCGTACTAAAGAGGAAGGAGGAAGGTCGAAAATCACTCACTGTTTATAAAAATGTGCAAGTGAATTGTTTTGTAAATAATCAAAAAAAATTTCTCATAGAATTTAGAGTTTTAGATTAGCCTTGTAGAAAAATTTATTTAGGCCTAAGGCATACCTCACGCGATTCGGCCAAATCGCCACTTTCACGCGACTTGGCAATTTGCCAGATTTCTACAAATTTATCGTGCGCGCTTCTCGGACGCATATTTGGGTAGCTTGTGTGAGTTGTTGCAAACCGAGCAAGTTCTGACCAAAGGCAGCGCATTAGCGACGAATTACGAAGAGTCGCTGTTGTGCCGAATCGCGCGAGGTATGCCTTAGGCCTCGGGCATACCTCACGCGCTTTCAGTCGCCACGCGATTTGGCAATACTCCAAATGCTCATCGTACGGGGTTTCTGAATGTACGGATGGTGGGGCATTTTATCAGCCTACGAAACCTATACATGCTGTGCATTTGGGGTCTACCAGTATTGAATTTGAAGACATCTGGCAAGTTGCCAGATCGCGTGGCGACTGAAATCGCGTGAGGTATGTCCCTTGCCTTAGGCCTTAGGGACGTGGCTACCGCCACGCCTCTTTTTGGATTTTGGGATTTTGGGCCCGCAAAAACTCTGGGAATCATTCCAGAATAAACCTTCGGAGAAGGTTTATTGGTTTATGGTTTATGGTTTAGTAAACCTCTTCGAAAAAAATCTTGTCGCGTCTCCCCTCCCCCCCCCCCCCCTCCCCAACGGAAATCCTGGGTGCGCCACTGGTAAAAGGTAGTAAAAACACTCGATGAATAGAGAGTGAGAAATCCGGATATCTAGAGCTCCAGAATATGAAGCTTCTTTTAAGCTGCCTCCTGCTGCCCCCTCCCCAACAAGGATGTTAACGCATGCTTTTCTCAAACCTTGTAATTCAAATAAGACGCGCTCGGCGCATATGAGGGCATCAGAAAGTTTTGGAATTTGTCGTAAAATAAGTGGTAAGAGGGGCTTTGGTCTTTCACAATCTATTCTGATGTTGAAGGACAACCTAGACATAGAAAATGAAGAAAATGGTGAGTACTGAAAGTGTGGGATCCAATGATTTGTAAATACTTGACTTCTAATCTTTCGGCATTGCCCTTCCAATGATTCTAGTATGCTTTTAACAAAAGTTTGTTTAAGATAAGAAGATTGTTTTATAGCATTAGGTCCTTAATAACTGTGGAAACGCCTGTGCATTATTTAGAGCCTGGACGGTATGAAGCAAAAAGAGTAAGTGTATAGTCGTCCTCACCCCACTAGTCGGTCGGTGGTCGAATTTGAATTCGAACTGGAGCAGGCTGGCCGCGGCAGAGCGCGGCAGGCGCCGCCCCCAGCCAATCGCTTGCACGAGCTTTTCTCTTATTTTCTTCGTGTTTCTTTGATGTCTCTCGTATTGCGGCAATGTTCTCAATCAGGTTTTTAGATTTCGTGCCGTTAGCTATTGTTTTGTGCATTGTGCTCCTTTGTTCAACACTTTTTTTTCCAAGTAAACCGGGAAGAAGGATGCTTTTGGAGATTTTTGAATGAGATATCTCTTTTCCAGTAACTGACATATACACAAATGTGATTTGATAAACTTTGTCAAGTTTTTCTTCAGAATGTGTACTCCAAACTATTTTTTTTGCGATAGGGCTGAAAACGTCTCAAAAAGTGTTTGTTTCAAAGAGTTAGCGGTACGAAATCTGAAAATCTGTTAAGAACATTGCCGCAATACGAGAAATAGCAAAGAAACAGGAGAAAATAAGACAAAGGTCGTGCAAGCGGTTGGCTGAGGGGCGGCATCTGCCGCGCTCTGTCGCGGTCGGCCTGCTCCAGTTCGAATTCAAATTCGACCACCGACCGACTAGTGGGGTGAGGACGACTATAGAACACAGGCACTATCCTGTAAACGCTATTCTTTAAATAACAAAGGTGCCCATATTATATATGGACTTGACCACTGAGCATTGTTCTTTCTGAGCCAAGCATCATAAGTCATGAAGGAAGATTTAACCGTTGATTCAGCGGGATTGGAGGCTAGAAGGCGGGGCTTCGAGGCCTAATTAAGGCTAGGGAATGATCATAGAGCACGCTCGCGAGAGAGACGTAGGTGCTCGTGGGTACGGGCGGTCTCCTCCCAGCCACCTATCCCGTTGAATCAAAGGGTAAGTGGCTGTAATTTTTGTCGCCATCGGTAGGGTATTTGGTTTTTGACCTTTTGAAGTGCTATTCTTCGCCCACTAGGGACGACTTTAACGATCTGTAAACAGAGTTCCATGTACTCTGACTGGTTCAGGACTGAAACGAACTCAGTGCGAAAAATTGGATGCACTTACCAGGCTGCGCATCAATGTCCGGGTGAACCTCCCTGAAGGAGTCGGTGAAGTTCATTTCTGCCATAATTTTTGTTGCCGGCCATTGGACTGCCCAGCCCCCATGCCTATCTCTGAACTTGACGCAATGAACACGAAATATAAGTTGATTAAATCTTTCACTTTGCTGATTCTGCCCAGTCAAGATGCGAAGGGCAGTTAAAATCACCAGCGACGATGACTGGCACAGCAGCTGATTTCCTTCTCATCGATGTCATTCTCGAACTATTTCGCAGTTCTTCCATATTCTGTTCACGACCTAGACATCCCCAATATCGATTTACACTTCAGAAAGAGTCAAACTCACCATGTCTAGCTCTCGGATGTTCTCCAGCCATAATTTGGTCAACAGAAGTGACCATCTTGTTATAGGCCGCATATGGACCAAAAGCAAGATAATCCAAATGCAACGACCAGAAATTGACGAAATACCATTGATCCACCAATATCTTGACGCCTACTCCTTTGCTGACATCTGCGTAGGAGTGTGGATGAATCTAAAATTTGCAAAAATAAAAAGTGGTAAGATTTTTATAACAGTCACTATTCAGACAATCACTACCTCGTGCCGTGTAAGTATTGCAGTATCCGGCAAAGTAGTGTTGCGGTGGTTTATGCCAGTCCACGTTCCTCCTAGCATCTGTGTGAGATTCCCAATCACGTGAACATTTTCAACTTCCTGGAAGAATGCAGTTCTACATATCTATCAAACTTCCGTGTCGACCGGTCCTTCGGAGTCATTTCTCTTGTAACCCTATCTCTGAGCTGAACAATTATTTCTGAATGAGGGTAGACTAACGCTGACTTACTGTCAGTCTCAGTTATCATGACTGACTATGTTTTAAGAAAAAAAAAACAATTTCCTAACAATTCGGGCTAACTTTAACTATAAAGTCCTCGACTCTAAACGTTCTGGCTATTGTCACTTTTAATCAACTCATACGTACTTTCCTTGTAAATTAGCCTTGTTATTCTAGGAAACAAAAACCGGTTTAACAACTGCGCTGTATTGTAAACCGTTCCACAGACTGAAAGGACTAATTTTTTAAATGGTTGCTACAGAATCAATGAAAAGTAAAAAGCCATCCTGCAGGATTATCGGTCTATCAAAGAAACTTTGATATCGCGCGCTATATGCTAAGAATTTTTTCCTATATATAAGTGAGTGCTTTTGGTTTTTTTACGATTTGGTCTATGACAAAGCCTCTGGAATGAAATATTTTCGCAGCTATTGTGGAAAGTTTTTGCCTTTGAACATATCTATCAGAGGGAACTAGAATTGAAATTTGTCATCTTTGAAATTCTGCAATACAGATATCGCATAATTTACGAGCACTTTGATATGTGTTAGGTCTCAACACTTTTACAAGTAACATATTACCTGAAGTGCTACAATATCCGGATTGACGAGTGCTATGTGCTTGGCTATCTTCTGTAGGCCATTATGCACTGATGCTCCTGACAACCATATGTTGAAAGTCATTACTCGTAAAACTCCATTTCTGGAGTAAACAGTGCTACAAAATAATAAATAGAAGGCCAGCAGCGTCCGGAGCATCCCTGAATAGAAATAAAAATTGAATAGAAAAAAGCAGAAGTCAACACAGACAAAGTCAACATAAGACTCAAATAGGACAAAAGCATTGCAAAAGAGAAGACGTTAGTCTTTGCTTTAGTCAGCTATGAGAAAGACTGAGTAATGGCATTTTGATAGAATATTGTATCAGAAGAAAAGCACAATTCTTCCACTGTTTTTTACTCCTTCTGTTGTAGTTTTTATTCTCCAGCAGTAATCGTGCTGAGGATCTAGAAGAAAATAGCATTTTTTTCTCTTAAGTTACGTAAACTTTGTACCAAGTATCTTTAAAAATGCGAATGCCCTCGTATGATGCAAGAAAGTCTATTTATTTGGAAACTGCAAATATGCTTCTAATTATTGAGTCGACTCAGAAGTTTTGTCGGTTTTTTGAAATGACCCGCAAGTCTCGTGCAGTGAAGATAAACAAACATTTCATACTGTATCCTAAACAAAATTCCTTTTTCTTCCCAACTGCCATGTCCGCATGTGATTCATTGAGAGAATGCTGAGATTATCGGTGGACAATACAATGCCTTGTTTTCACCATGAAATTTCGCTAATTTTCAGAATTCTATCTGATAGTGAGAGTCTTGTGGAGTGCTTCGAATTCCAGCAGATGGAGCAAACCTTTTGCCAATTAGGTAAATTTGTAGCCCTGTGGCTTGTCTTACAAAACTCACAAAATATATCTTTATGAAGTAAGTTTTATATTCGGCCCAATACTTTATAAGATGGGAAACAGTACAGCTACCATTCGATGCAAGTTTTTCTTTTCTCTAACACTTGCCTTATGAGGAGATACACGAAATTTGCGGGGTCTCCGTATTTTTCAATTTCATGTGTACCTTCAATTTCAAAATTTTCATGTATTGAAGCAAAAGTCGCTTATTTACATTGTAAACTTAGCAGCATTGGTATTTGAGTGTTGAATTCTCAGCAGATTTCTGGAGATTTTTCAAGCTTTGGTGCAATAACAGCTTATGCGATTTTTCCATAACTTAAGACTATTGCAAATTATTTAGCAAAAATCTAGAGGAGTAGATGGAAAGGGAAAAAAATTGCTTCAGTTGGCAAAAAGTTTGCCTTACTCGATGGCTATCAAAGTTCACCTGAAAGCCTTGAATAAAAACTAAAATAAATTAGTGAAAGTTGGACTTGTGGGCGTGTAACCAAGGGTAATTTCCAGCGAACGATTATGTCCAGCAATCTGCATCGAATACAGCCTGAAGTGTTTGCTAAACCCTACTTTAAGTATCTGACGGTGGATTCGAAAAACTGACAAAATTTTTGCACCAACCTAAATAAACATCTAATGATCTAAAAATATTAACGCTACCGTTTTTGTGGAGGAGAAAAGTGGAAAACGACCATGAAACAAGAAGCACTCAATACTAGGGGAGATCTTTAAGGTAAGGAAAAGTTTATATATAGTATGGAACAGCAGTGCTAGATTTCCTTTTGCAAAAGAAGAATAGAAGTAAGTTGGAGAAACTTTCGTAAGAGGCAGGAAAGGATGCATGTCATTGTGATTGAAAATACGTATTACATATTAGGTCGGCAAATAAGTTTTACAAGTAATTTTGTAATTCCTTTCTTTCTGACCGTAAGCATTCAATTTTGGGCTCTTATGTAGGTTAGGTAGTAATCGTAATAGTAATGGTAGTGAAGTGAAGAAAATTTACGACTTTTTGAAAGCTGGTCAAATTCGAAATTTTAAAGATCGGAAAACCAAAAATAAAGCCGTTCTTAGCATGAACTGGACACAGCAAGTCGAAGTCTTGCCTAGATTGTTGATAACGAAACCTCCAGTAATCTGTACGTTTTGGCTTTATGCGTCTGATTCAGATTAAGAAGGAATTCAATTTTAAGTTTCGAATTTGACCAGCTTCCGAAAAATAAAGCGTAAATTCTATCCATTTCGTTACTAAAAATTAAACTGTCTTACTACCTAATCCACATTATGCCCAAAAATGAATGCGTAAGTAGAAAACAGGAAATTTACAAGATTAGTTTCAAAACTTATGTGCCAACCTATGACGTTTTCAGGAGTAATTCTGGCTGGTACCACCTAGGAAGTGAGCTAGCAGAGCACGGATGAACACAAGATAAATGGGAGCACGGCTTGAGATCACAATTCGGTTCGTGGTGTTCGGGACAGAATGAACAGCTGTAGAAATTCGCTACACTGCCGCGGACGCTTGGTTCAAAGCTGACCGCTGGCTATCAATCTTCTCTGTGTCCGTGTGGAAGTAAAGTTAGTAGGATCAAAGAGTCTTACAGCTTTATTTCAAAAAGTTCATTTGAAAAGATCATCCTCATCTGTCTTCTATATTGTTACCTAAGTGAATTGATGGATTCTGTACTTTTTTACAAGTTTTCTATGACCGATACATATGCTCCGCAGCGCAATCTTCTGCCTGTAAGAATTATTTCAGTGAGACAAATTATGCAAGGGAAAAATTCTAAGTGACAGTTGTCAAATCTGAAAGAATCCAACAGTAAGGTGTCCATACAAAATGGTCATGCTGGATAGATTAACGATTGCGTGTGCCCTCAGCTTTTTTCTTTGAAAGTGCGCGCATTTGTCGTTGTTCAAATGCACTTCTAAAGCACTTTCTTACTATATGAAAAGAAGTACGAAAAAAAAATTTGCACTCTGATGTTGGAGCACCCGCAAGTCGTTGTGAAGTGGGTGAATGTTGAACATCCAATAGGATTTGAATGCTCAAGAAAGTTATTTTTATATTCTCTTGCCTCGCTTCTCGTGTCTCTTGTAAAACTTTCGAGATGAAAACCGTACTTTCATAATGTCCAGCCTGAGCTATATGCCTGAAGGCAAACTAATTACCGACCACTTCTTAGTGAACTCTGAGGACAAGGAAATTGTACGGAGATAAATTGGTACCGTACAAGAAGCACTTCGTCTGTCAAGGACTACATGAACAGTGATATTGAAAAACAGCTGTCCAGATGGATCTCGCTTGTGGGCCAAACTCAAGCACTTAACTAGACAAACGATATGCGATGTGTCCCAGAAAAATGTGCTTAGTGTGTGATTGTAGATAACTCTCTTGTCAGAGAGTCTTTCGAGAAGCTTTCTGTACAATTTTTTGGAGTTGGCTTCAACTTAGATTCACAGTATGGAGGGAATTACTAATCGCTCTTCATTACCTTACGGTGGCCAACTTCGGTGTAAGGCATTACGGTGAAAAATTGCCTTTTTGAAGAAGCCTAAAAAATATCAGAAAATTCGTGTAATAGGTTATTGAAGGCCGAATTTGATGCTCAACTTTGTACAAGATTGTGAAGCTTTTCAGACGCTATAGCACAATTTTTTGCAACATCGAAAAAATGCCTGCTACCATTGTAGTGGGATGCAAACTTCATATCTAAAATCAGCAACTCTAATTAGCCCAGTATGAGACTTTTAAGATCGCTTTTCTCCTTTCTAAGCTAAAATGTGACCGTCCATGGCTCAAAACGATGATGTTCCTCCGCAGTTCTACTGTAATGAAGAGAAATGAGTGATTCGCTCTGTATTCTCAATCTAAGTTGAGGACAGCTCTACACAACTGTACCTAAAGCTTCTCCAGACTTCAAGACAAGAGAGTTATTAACAATCAAACAGAGGGCACGTTTTTTGGGACACTCTGTATTTTGCCGTTCGCTGGTATAATCACAAACACAGTTTATTGCCTGGAAATTATCCGAAGACCTGGAAATCTAGTCGGGTCCATTTATCAATGAACTCCTAGAAAAATAATAAATTAGTCTTTCATTTTTATAGAATCAGACTTGTCATATCGAGCATGTCAGGAATTAATCAAAGCAAACAGCAAAGAAACGAAATAATACCAGCATTTTGAAGTATGCTAAACGTATTCGTAAACCCTGACTTTGTCCCATGAAAAAAGAAGTTTATTTTTGCTTCTCCCTCTCCATTAAAAAAAGTTGAACAAAGATTACGATCTGCCGTAAACTCATCAACAGAGAATGAAGATCGTACATTTCAAAAAACAATAAAACCCAGATAATCCCTCTTTTCAAACATCTTTGGCTAATTGTCAAGCTTGAGAAAGATTTTTCTTATCCACCTTTGGGCACTTTATTCAGGAAGGATGTATCATAGGTCTTTGGTTTATTTTGAGCTTACAATAATAGTGCTGAGGCTGCTTGCTGAGCGTTTGAATCTTAATGAGAACGAGCGTAGCACCGATCATGGTCGGAAAAGGACCGTATGAAAATAATTATGCTATGTATCAACATCTCAGTTTATGGAATGAAACACGTCCTCTACTCGAAATTCTGTTTATATAATAGAACATAACAGAAATCATAAGTTTTGAACGAATTTAGATCAAAACTAGTTGGTATACTCAGAGTTTTTTGCAAGAGCAAAATGAGAAAAGCAGCTGAAGAAAAAAAAGAACGCTTTTATTCCCGATTGCTGCACAACTACATATTGGAGACTAGAGCCCAAACGTTTTGTCGTCATATTTCGTATTTATTATATGCAAAATGTCATAGTAGTTGAAGAAAACTTTGAATAAAACATGAGAACAATTGAATTTTAGGGATGTAAGAAGAATGAAATTTCTTATCGTTTTTGTGCTAATGCATCTGCAGAGCGCAATTTTTGGAATAATTGTCTAAACACAAACATTATAAGCCTCAAACATCAACACATAAGAATCTAACAAAACAAATCTGTCAAGAACAATTATGTGCGCAGAACGACATGAGATCTCAGGAAACATACATTCTCAGCAGCTAAATGACCTTTATCGCTTCAGCAATTTAGTATTTGTCAGTCGATGTTGGGCGTAATATCAGTGCAATAGGTCACACTTGGTGATGACGTGACAAGATGTGGCAATCAGTAGAAAATAGATTGTCTGTTTTGAAAAATATGAGAGCTTGAGCTGGCTTTGTGATGTATGCAGTCAAGAAAAAAATAACCCTAAAGGAATAAGCAGTAAGCATTGTCTTATAATTGCAAGAGAAATGTGAAGATTTCCCTGAATGATTTCCCGGAATAAAGTCTCAAGTGCCTTTTTTGCTCGCAGTTGGTGAGCAGAGCAAAAAATCTAGTTTCTATTGTTGAGGGTACTTCCGGCCTCATGACGCAGCACTTTTCCCTCTGGGACACGAAAGCAACATTAGTATTCGTACCAAAGAAAAAATAAATTCGTTTTATTTCACCAAATTACTATATTTTAAGCTCCATAATTACTAACCAGGATGATTCACTTTCAAACTCAGACCGCTAAAATCAAATTCCATATCCCTTCCGGAACGAAACTAAAGTAAATGATGGAACCTTGAAAGTTTTTTTCAAAATCTTCGTTCCTATTGTGCAGCATCAGGAATATCCTTTGTTGTGCTAATACATGTTTTTCTTTGACCTAGCACAATCGAATCTTATGTGTCAATCGTAGACTATCACAGAGTGGATTAGAATCTGCCAGATACTGTACGCGAGTTTCCAAGTGTAAAATGAAATTCCTTGCTATCACAACGATTTAGCCCGCGTGAATAGCGAACATAGAGGAACAACGATATCAAACATTATGAAGTGGGCACTCAAGGAATGGATGATATCCCGCTTTGCAATTGGTTAGCTAAAAAACTGCATAAATTACTCAGAAAACGAGGGTTTGTTCGCTAGGAATTACGTCTACAACACTTATTCTTATCCGAAGAATTTAGTGCAGATTATACAAAAACAACGACATGCTAAGAACGGAAAAAATTGAGCTTTAGTCTGGGCACACACAATAATTCGTTACGATATGAATCCACTGGCCTTCCAACAGTTTGTATATCACCGTAAACGCCTCGAATGCTAGTTTCTAATCTTCTGCACATATCTTCTAAGCCAAACTTCTAAACGAAGTTATAGGCACTGTTGTGTACATGCATAGGCTGCACGTTAAGCTGCTTTTGGGTGCGTGCTTTCCTACGTCTTTTCCTAATGGTAAGGTACTCAATCCATAGTCATTATGTTCATCAAATGTCATTTGCGGTAGGACGTTCTGCAGATGTTAAGTGTCGAATAACCAGCACCTCTCAGAGACAGTTATATCCTGGAGTTGTCACTGGGAGTTATGAGCATTTCCTTGCTATTTATAGAAAAAATAGCAAAAAAGACAACGAAACAGTTGAGGATTAGGCTTGACGTAAGTTGATAGCTTTTCAACTGAGCTGGGATGTGGTGAATTGCAAGCAGAGTACTAGCAGGATTTGACAACCGGCTGCGATCCCATATATTTGCGTCCTACACAATGCTTAATTTCTACTGGGAGAAATTCGGAGTCTGTTCTTCCGTAAGTAATACGGATCCGACAGTAGTTTGCTTTGTCAGTCTTTACTGCAAACGCAAACGCGAAATTGTGGTAAAAACTGCACCAGATCCCTCTATGGTTCAGAAAGGTTCCTTGTGGACCCATAATTTTGCAACAAAAAAACAGTAAAACAATATGTTGTTGAAAAAGAAAATTTCTTGCAAAGAATGAGAATTTTGACTGCAAGTCTGCTATGCCCGAAGATCAATAGTAATCAAAAGCCCGTTTCTTTCTATATAGATACGTAGATTCGCTTAGGCTTAAGCCTGGAAAAGTATATTTCATTATAATCCAAAAATGCTCCTCGAAGATTCTTTACAACCACATACGAAAATCTTTCACGTGTCACTATCATCATGAAAGCATGATGCACGCAATCTGTAAAGATTCAAAAAACTACATGCATTATCATACTGCTACCTTATACCAATTTGACCATGTTATCTTCATTAATAAGCACAACGAATCGCCAAATACCGCTCGCATAATTTTTATCTTGCGAGAAAACATTGAAAACCGAAAAACCGTATGCAACATCCTATACAATTAGCATAAAAGCTAAGATGATGTGACACATGATGAATTCTGATACGGCAGTTACAATATTTGAAAGAAATGCAGCAGAGAGAAAAAAATGTGTGTCCATCAAAGTGCGATAGAAAAATGCACACAATTGCAGAATCTTTTCCTTTTTCGGCTATGTTCGCGATTAAATTCTGACGACGAGCGCAGAGATATTTGTCGACGTTTACAAGCCATCCTTTTCACTGCCTAACTTTCGTTATTTTCCAAATTATATGAGAGACTTCAAATATGCTTTGATAGCCAGCTGAAGGCAGATTTTGCGAATCACAATCTTTATCTTTCCCCAGCTTCGTTTTGTTCGAATAATTCTCTGGAGCAACAATCACTGACTGCATAATCTCAAAGAACTTGAGAGCCAACTTGATACTGCTAAATTAACTTTAAAGTAAATGAGCGATTATCGCTCCAGAATGTTCAGATTTACGACTTTGAGGTACGTACACATTCGTAAAATCAAGAAATACTGGCCGTTTTGTTCTCAAATTTTATTCATCGCGAGGAATTAAGCTGAAGTGAGGAAAAAGTTTCGAAGAGTATTGAGCTTACCACACCAAGCTTTATTATCATGTTCTGCATGAAAGTGCGCCAAGAAAAACAAACTTCCAAAAAGAGTTTCACCGATTTGATTGGACCGAATATAAAACTTGGTCATTTTGAAAAATACTTTTTCGAAATCAAAGGCAACACACTAGTCTCAAATATTGACAAAAGACAAGCCAGAGTACTACAAAAGATTAGATCAATCTGCAAAAGGTTTGCTTCTACAGATGGCTATAGAAACACCCTGAAAAGTCTCGGCCAATGTTTTGAAAATTAGCAAAGTTAGAAATGGTGAAAACAAGGTTGTAGCTTCGGCAAATATCTAACCACCCGATGGAAGAGTCGCTTCGTTAGCATGGTTACTGTTCGACCAGCAAAACCATTAGGCGGATTAATAGACTGAGCTGCTCAAAAAGATTGCGCCTTCTCAGATTCAGAGTGGATCGTAGCGTGGCTATCGCCATAAAGGTAGTACGGATGTTCAAGGATCAGCTGCAAACCCACTGCAATCCAGAATTTGTCTGATTCTGTTGCAAACTTTTTTGATCCTACTGTCATAGCTAGACAAAAAAATGGACTTTTCATTTTTGCGCATCAAATGGACGTTGAGAAACATTTGGTCATTTGGTCATTTTGCAGAGCTTTGAACAGGGTAATTCACCAGATTGGCTACACTACCGTATTCGGCACACCAGCCTCAAAAAATGACCAACAGCTATACGATTGTGACTGAAGCACTTTGCTTGACGGTGTCTAGGCGTTATCTATCTTGAGGAGTGAAGTGCAAGACAACAAACACTAACGACAGTACATACTTTAGCAAAGCGATCTTCGCAATTCTCGAGTAATTTCCGGTCAAGGAAGTGTGCAAGTGACAATCTAACAAATTCCTTTACTACGTTGACGACAGATTTCCTGCATGATCAAAACATCGGATAATCTCTCGAATCCTAAATCTAAACTCACAACTTCGTATGCAAAAATAGGAAGAGGTCTTACACGATATTATTAGGTCATCTCAAAAGTTTTTTCATATCAGACTTTTCACCAGCGTAAGTCTGCTCTTCTTACAATTAGACTTCTGATGAGAAGCGGAGTACCCTTCGAAAGAGTGAAGCAAGCTCTACAATACGACTTTTAAAAGTTCGTACCAGGCTTGATCCGCATCGAGTTTCAAGACAAAATGGAAAAAAAATCCAAAATTCCGAAAAAACAAAAAAATCGTATCTTAGTTCAAAAACATTCTGCAAAGTTCCCACTTGCTCACGCATATATTTTCCCCATCAGACATTTATATATACACTTGCTGCATTTTTCTGACGGCTAGAAATCGAGAAAAAAAATAAAGCGCTTAATTTTTAAACTTTGCATGAGTCTATGTTCCTCGCAAATGTGTCATTATACAGCTTATTCACTCAAGAATACTTTCACAAATTTGCACCCTTCTAGATGCCTTAGTTTTAGAGAAATATCATTTTGAAGGTACGAATACGAAAAAACTTTTGGGATGACCTAATAATTCACTCGCAAGTTCTCGTTGACTACTGTAGGACTCAAACTCGTAATTTTGAATTTTATCTCAGAAAATACTAGAATGCCGCTAGCTACTCTATGATGCTGCAAAGCTCTTTTATATATAGTAACAGCTCACGCATCACTTCGGTGCTTCGATTTCACATGAAATTACAAAAAAAAAACAATAAAGTTGTGAGAAACACAATTTCAGATTTCCTGATTGCATTTTTTCGCAGAAACCGAGACCAAAACCTTGAACTTGTGCTTATCTCATCGCTGTGACGGTTTCTTTGGTGTTACCCTGTGTTTTTTGCAGAATGCAATAATGATCGGATTTGCTTGTATGTCTTTTCAATTTTTTGCAAATTTATGAGTTCGAAGCCTGCAGTGATGCATCCCTACGAGTTTTGTGCTGAATATTATTGCCTTCCTACCTTTCAACCAGATTGCAGCTCATTTTCATTCATTTCATCGTACAAGCCTACAAAGCTAAGTGGAAAGTTTGGAAACGAATTTAACATAGTGGAAGCTCTGTGAGCCGTATCCTTCTGCTTGATGAATCCAGAATGTTGGCTTCGTAACTCAATAGCGTTAACAGGAGTCCCTTTCTACATGATTGTAGCATTATGTTACCTCCACTTTTACATACCCTGGATTCTCGCAACTCGCATTTTTTATCCATCAATCTATGCGAACTCTTATGTGGTCAACGATCAAGACATTATCGTTTTTGCTCTGCACTGTCTCATTACACGGCTCTTTATTAGGGAAGAAATAACTTCTGAATTAGGACTATGGTTAAATACTGCTATTTCTCTTGCACTTGTAAGCTGCATATTGTGATTTCAAATACCGATCTCTTTACCCATCACACAAAAATCTGCACAATCGACAATACAGAAAAAGTCGAAATCAAGGCAAAAGTCTACATACGACTCTGCCAGTGGCGTACCCAGGATTTTCGTTTGGGGGGGGGGGGGGAGGGGGACGCGACAAAAAAATTTCCTAATGAAGGTGCGTGGCGTCAGCCACGCCCCGAAAAGAATTTTTTATAGAGCTAAAGTGAGTTTTCAAAAATTTTTATAAAATATTTTGATTATTCACAAGCACAAACAAGTCACTTCACAATTTTATAGCTCATGTAAGTAACTTACAAAAATTTTGAGACCCATTCTCGAGTATCCTCCCCCTCCCTCCCCCCACCCCCTCGGTGCGCCATTGGACTCTGCAGATATGATACTTATCCATGAAAATCAGGTTAGACTGGAGATACCGCATTATCAGTCTGCGAGAAGGAAACTTTACTCGATTGTAGGATTAACATCTCTACCATTCCCGACAATAAGCAATGTGCCCACACTATCCTGCAAAGCACAAAAAGGTGAATAATTGTATACCCGAATTACATCGAGCTTTTGGATATCCAAGAGTAACATGATGCATGTAAAGCTGCGGTGGAGTGGGATGCGACTGTCTCCATCCCACTGTCGATGTCTTTTCTACTCTGTCACATTCGAAGTGTACGAGTTCTTTGAATGTTCACGATGAAAAGGGTGCGTATACCTTGAATTGAGGATGACGCGATCGAGCACTTGGAATGATAACGATTTCTGTCTACTACCCACCATCCGAAGAGTTTTGAATCCTTACAATCACACCTTCTTCAAAAAAATCCGCCAACTTTACCTTGCAGCTCAATTTTTCTGACAGATGGAAACGCAATTTAGCGGCCCTGAGGGACTTGGAGCCACCAATGCGATGGCGAACGCCAGAAGAAGCCAGACTGTGAAGTAGTTGAAGATTCAAGTGGCTACCAGCAGGAACAAACATGATATGCGGTTACCAAAAAGTAATCTTTCATATCACACCGCAGTCACTCGTGTTACAAGCACTACTCACTTTGCAGCCAAACCTAGAAATTGGCCGGACAAATGCAAGTACGTATACCACGGCTACCTACCGCCGAAATCATAAAGAGATTATAGGAAACTTTCAGTTTACTTCAGTTCTTTCCGATGACATCTGCACGATGCGAA